GTATACAAATTAAATTAACCTTAACCTTAACCTTAACCTTAAAATTACCGAAAGCTCTTGAAAGAGCTACAGCTTAGTATTGGAGAAAAATACATATAAACCTGTTGATCAGTAGAGGCAGTGGGGACAATTAGAAGAACTGGCACTTCAATCTTTCTTTGCATGGGAATACTCAAATGTGCATGGCTACATACCAGGTCTGATTTTCTTAATTCTGACTTTACTTACAGAGTTACACGAGTTGGAAGGGATCTTAGATGTCTTAAGTCCAACCTCCTGCTCAAACAGGAGACTTCCAATTCTCAATTCTTTCTCCTTCATTGATTCTTTCTGGGTCACCTGATCTCTGTCCAGTAAGAGGATTACTTAATTTTGCATTTATCCATGTATTGGATCTCCTGTTTATAATTTACTTATAGCCTCTGGTTGCAAAAATATATATACTATACCACTTCCTGTTTATTAAACAAATATTGAGGGTCGCCAGCACTACTGTTTCTCTTGCAGTTAAGTTTTCTTCCTCGCCATTCTCCAGTAATGGAGAAAACTCCATCCTGGTTGAGAGACGCTGATCAATCAGGCAATGTCAAATTTTCTTTCATCATCTAATTTCTCCGATAAGGATCATTTGCTTATTCCCTTTATTTGACCTAAGGCTTGTGTCTGCAGAGGTCCCTGTCTGGTCTCCCATTTCCCCTGCCTGCTCAATGTTAGGGAGGGAGGGAGGAAAGGAGGAAGGGATGAAGCAAGAAAGAAAGTAAGCAAACAAGAAAGGAAGGGAGGAAAGAGGAGAAGAAAGAAAGGAAAGGGGAAAAAAAACGAAAGAAAAACATAAGAAAAAATGAAAGAAATGAAAGAAAGAAAAAAAATGTCCAGGCAAAGGTCCAATGGTAAAAAATTTCATAATTAGCATGCTAAAAAACATCAAGAGATGGATAGCTTAGCTAACTATTTGCACCCTCCTGTGCTTATGGGATGTTAGCCTAAACTGCACGTTTTCAATAAATCGGAAATAAGCAACGGAAAATTCCAATATGTAACTTTGAACAGTCACTAAATGGTCACACACTTGAACAATGGGCCCTATCCAACAAAATGAGTTTTAACATGGAGAAAATGTAAAACATTTTGGCAGGAAAAATCAAAGATATAAATACAGATTAGGTGAGACCTGGTTGAAAAACAGCAAGTGTGAGAGGGACCTTGGAGTCCTAGTGGACGATCACTGGATTATGAGCCAGCAGTGTGCAGCAGCAGCCAAAAAAGCTAATACAATCCTGGGTTGTATAAACAGGTATAGAATCAAGATCACACAAAGTATTAGTGCCGCTTTATAAAACCCTAGTGAGACCACACTTGGAATACTGCAACCCATTTTGGTCACCATACTACAAAAAAAGATGAGACCTTGGAAAAAGTTCAGAGAAGAGCAACTAAAATGATCAAAGGCCTGGAGACTAAAATATATGAAGAACAGCTGCAGGAATTGGGTTTGGCTAGTCTAAAGAAAAGAAGAAATAGGGGTGACACGATAGCACTATTCCAGTATTTGAGAGGCTGCCACAAAGAAGAGTGCATCAAACGATTCTCCAAAGCAGAAGAGGGCAGGACAAGAAACTATGTTTGGAAACTGACCAAAGAGAGAAGCAACCTGGAATTAAGGAGAAACTTCCTAACAGTGAGGGCAATTAACCAGTGGAACAGCTTGCCTTCAGAAATAGTGGGCTCTCCATCCCTGGAGGTTTTTAAGAAGAGACTGGACAGTCACTTGTCTGAGATGGTATAGGTTAATAATAATAATAATAATAATAATAATAATAATAATAATAATAATAATAATAATAATAATAATAATAATAAAGTTGGAAGGGACCTTGAAGGTCATCTAGTCCAACCCCCTGCTCAGGCAGGAAACCCTATACCATTTCGGACAAATGGCTGTCCAGTCTCTTCTTAAAAACTTCCAGTGTTGGAGCATTCACCG